AGTAATAAATGTCTTTATTTATTCCTAGAGCAATCATCGACTGCACTCAGTCATTAATCACAGTATAACTACGCTACATGTACTGTTTTGCATTCAGTAGCATNGTAGTGTTGTTTGAAATTGTCTTACATTATCTCATCTTGTAACTTTTTTTTCAAATCAATGCAACACATCGTAACGACGCAGTAGTTGTAATTATCTTGCGNCTGGAAAAATTATCTTTGCGCAAAACATATATCGAGTTTTTTACAATTTTATCTGCACGCATCATGTTTCTATATGTCGTTGTTTGTACAATAATATAAGAATATTATTCGACTTTTATAAAGAAAAACATCGGAAATAATCTTTCGCTTATCGTTTTCATCGCGTGTGCTATTTATTATCGGATGTGTAAATCATAAACGATAACGCGGAATATGTCAGAACGGTTTAATGCTATAACAGAAAACGCGGATCGCGCTGGATCCTTGAACTAATTGACTTTGTCTAATCTTGGTTACGACCGTGTCTTCATTTCGGTAATACGCAAAGTTAAACAGGATCTCTCAGCGGGATGATGCATGAGAGAAACACGGATCATTTAGCGGAGATATTCCTTTACCGAAGGACTAGCAAACACGTACTTCGGACTGTTACGGTCTGTTCTTATTATCGTATCAAGCATCGAGCTTACGTAACGATGGGAGGCGTGCGGGAGAGAAGATGCTCGTGACCTTGCGTATCACAAGCGGATATACACTTGTCTCTGTAAGCGTGAATAGCGCTAACATTGATGCATAGTTTTCCGCGCGAAATAAATTTACATTACAATAAACAATTCTTTGGCAAAAAAACCAAACGAAGAAAATTCGTACAATACGTAGGAATAAAAACACATATAGAATAAAATGTAACGCAATGTTAGACACATTTCATTATAAATACATTATTATAAATACAAACTAAGAAATATATATTTATTCTTCAACTTTCAATACAAGTTTGAGGTGTATTAGTTTAATTTTTTGATTGACACAAATATACGCTTAGAGATATAATCATTTTGAAGGCACGTATTCACGCTCGGAATAAGTTATTTTTATTTTGTGGGATACGCGCTTCCAGTAAGAGTTTCGCAACGAGCTATTTGCTTATCTAATTAAAATTAGACTGGCGTATAAGTAGAGAGGTAGAATCTACGAGCTCTACTACAGATTTCAGATTGAGTCTGCTTGAAACTTCTCTTCGTTTGCATGTTTGTTTTCTCTATTTGTTAGCACNAAAATATTTTTTTATTGAGCTGTTTCGTATCAAAAAAATTGAAGTTAAAGTGATTCAGCGTTCTTCGTGATTAGGCAGTGCTTTATGAAACGGCGTTATTATTACATCCCATATCTGAAATTGTCGTTATATGTTATAGATATGTGGGGAGACTGTTTCGTAATTATGTACGAAAGGTCATCCTTCTCCGAATTTAATGATGAGGTTGACATATGTTGTCAAGAACACCATTTGAAGATAATGAATATTACTTGTATATATTACGCGTATTCTCTTTTTCTAAGCTGTTTATTCAAGACCGCGTAAAATCTCGCATAAATTTATTTCTATTGCAAATATAAAAAAACGATCATAATTGTCTTTGTGCTTATTACTAGTCTCATACCTGTACATGATGCGGCATGCTTAGAATATAGATGACCGTGTTCGAAATATCTTTATCATTCAGCATAGGATTCATCGTAACACTGGGCACGTTTGTTATCATGTCCGTTTTCACAACTCCGGGACTAATATTCTATATTTTCAATATCAATCTATTTTACAATACTTAGCTCCGTGTGTTTTTTGTTATGTTTGGTAAAGAAAAAGTTTTCTATAAACGTTTTCTACAGATAAAGTTTGTATACCGTGACTTTTACATCCAACTTTTCTCTTGCCAAATCGCCGCGTAAAGACATTGCCATACCTTTTACTGCATATTTACTGGCCGGATATATACTCATATTTGTTGACAAAAAGTCTGCAATGTGTCCGGTTATACTGAAATCAAAGAGATTACCGACAAATATTTCGGTTTGTATCTATCGCTACGCGCGAATATCTTTCGTATTTATTGTATGAAGTAACATTTTTGTTGTTCTTGAGATTTTTATTTTCGTGTTTAATACAAATACCTGCTTATATTTATGATATGACCTGATGTTTTCCGTTTCTTGACGGATTGAATAAGTTCGCGCGAACAAATTGCCGTCCCGAGCACGTTTACGTTCAAAATTTTTTGCAAATTTTCCGTGCTCTCTTCTTTCAAACACAAAATAACAAAGTTAAAACAAAATCAAAACTTCAGGTTTTGCAAGATTTTCTTGCGTATTACCATAGACATATATATACATATATACATATATACATATATACAAGGTTGGGTAAGTTAAATTTTGTTTTTATTTAAGTTAAGTTACAGTTAAAGGTCTTAAAAATTTTATTTAGTTAAGATATAAGTTAATCCATAATGAAATTAATTGATTAAAAGTTAAATTAATAAAAAAAAAAATTAACAAGTTAAAAGTTAAATTTTTTTTCATGATTTTAGTGTTTTAGTCTTACAAATAATTACAAACATTTACGGTGTTTTAATCTTACATATAATGGAAAAAATGCTATATTTCACGTCACGTGTACTATAGTTTTTGGTAACCAAAGTAGGATTTTGGAACATACCCCTGCTGTTGTCAGCTGTTGTGCGCATCCCCTTTTTTGCTGCAACATGCTATGAACATTCCGTTTTTTTGCATATGCGCACATGATCTATATACTATACGTAATGTTTACTATGGACAAATGCGCGTATATGAAACGGAACGCATCTTATAAACGTCTTACAATCGTAAACACTGACGATTACGTGAATTGCGTTGAATTTTACACCCAACGTTTATTGGCTCAATACTCGAACACGTACGAATTTATTCGCATATAAAACGAATCATTCTGAGCTTTGTGATTGGTCGAATTTTTCGGCCTATAAACATGTAAAATTAATTATGATCATACGACGAAATATGTTCCGTTTTGTATGCAAACAAATAAAAAATCTTATGGCTATAGTAGATTTAAGAGAGTTAAAATAAAAAGTTACTAGTTACCGATAAAATATAACTAAATAAAGTTAAAAGAGAAGAGTCTAAAAATGTAACTAGATAAAGTTAAAATTATATAACTTTTTAACTTTTTAACTTAACTTTTATCTTTTTAACTAGACACTACCCAACCTTGCATATATATAACTGATTACCTTAGACATATATACATATATACATATATATATCTGATTACCTTAGACATATATACATATATACATATATGCATAGACATATAAAGTATAGACTGGAAATTACGACCGTCAACAATGACATCGCTAGAAAAAATCGTTTCGGCGTCAGTAGTCTGCGACGACAAGGGTGAAGTAAGCTTCGCGCCGCGAACAAACAAACGTGCGCGCTGAATGTGCGACGTATGTGAGTTTTGCTTCGTGGTCATTGAGTGGTTATTTTCGTTTTTGCCATAATTTCTGCGACATGAGTTTTTGCATCGCTTATATGTGTCGCAATCGACACAATCGTAAAAATGCGGATCAACGCGAACTAGAGGCTGCGAGAGGCGTTCGAATTTCGTTTCACAAATACGATATTACCTAATTTTTTTTCTCACCGTGTGTGAGTTCGCAATTCGTCGAATTCCGTAAAACTTCAGCGAGAAGCGTTCGGATATTTCCGCCGATCACGAATTCACACGAAGTAGTCTACGACGCGTCGCGAAGTGAATACCTCGCAATTTCCAGTCTATACTTTATATGTCTATGCATATATGCGTCTATGCTAATTACAAATAAAATTACCTGAAAGCGACGCCGTCGAGAGGACACCAGCATTGTTAATCAAAACATCAACACCATTCAGATGTTTTTCCGCCCACTTGAATACCTCGAGAATGTCCTCTTCTTTTTGAACGTCGCATCGTATGGGATGTAATTTCGCGTTGCATTTCCTTTGAACATCCGCGGCCAGTTCTTGCAACTTTTCCATCCGTCGTGCGACAGCGATTACCTTCATCCCGTTTATCGCGAGTGTTCGCCCGATGTCCGCGCCGATTCCACTGCTCGCACCGGTGACGAGCGCGACTTTTCCCAACCAACGTTCCATTGTAAAGATCTCGACTATTAATCATTCAGAGTGAGTTTCGATGCATATATATACATTATCCTTACCAGTAGGAGCAACCAACGAGATATAACGATAACATAATTAATATAAGTTTTGTTTTTAAATATATTCTCACGATAATACTGATGGATTTTTAAACACTATTGTTTGCAACAGTGATGCAATATTCGTACAAATCCACTTTTTTTTTCTGTACTTGTTACTTTATAGTTAAGGTACAGAATATTTATATTAAAGAATATCTGCAATTTTTGACACACAGATGATTGCAAAATAATATCGCAACAGTATTTGTGCAAATTCTCTTTTATAAAGAATATCACAATTACACAACTACAATTATAATTTATTCCAGATATTTGTAATATATAGCAGTATTTTGATATTTTTGCAATATATCTGCACAGAGGTTATCACTAGCACGGCACATCATGTCAGTGATAATAAATTTCATTAATTAGCGATTGTACTTACATCCAATTGTAATCACAGTTAAAACTTTTTGTTAATTAGAAAAATAAGTTCAGTATATGTATTGGTCCGTATTCTGTAGTATTGTATTATTCAAAATTGCTTCACATTGTTTTATCTTGTGACTAGTTCAGAAATCAACACATGTCATTATGAATGCTGTGTTTACGTAATAATGTCATAACTCATCGGAAGTATCTTCGAGCGTATAAAACTTATATCGAGATTTTCAAGCTTATCTATATGCATCATGTTTTAATATCTCGCCATTTGCACGACGATATGAACATATTTTTTGACTTTCATGAAAACATTAGAAATATTATACTAATTTTTCATCGTTTGCTTATTGTTTTCGTCACGTGAGCGATCACAATCGGTCGTGTAAATAAAAAATGATCAGAATTATAAATCATCAGAATTATATAACTCGTAATAAAACTAAAATTAGTGTATTATGAAGGTTCCGTCATATAACCGCATTTTATAATTGTCTAACTTTGGTTATGGTCGTGTCTGTCCATTTTGGCAATACACAAAGTTATACTGGATCATTCACCGGGATGATGCACGAGAGAAACATGGATCATTTGCCAGAGATATTCCTTTACCTGCTACGATCTGTTCTTAGTAATGTACCGTGCATTGAGTTTGCGTAATGATAAAAAGCGGGCAGGAGAGAAGACTCGCTGACCTTGTCAGGTGAATATACATTTGTCTACAAGTGAATGGCGCTAAAACTGACCTAATGTTCCGCGCAAAATAAATTACATTAAAAAATTCTTTGGCAAGAAAAATGAAAAAAATACGATACATAAGAATAAAAATACATATAAGATAAACTGTAGCACACACACACACACAATTAGGCATTATAAATATATTATTATACATTATAAATACAAAGATGTTTTTTTTCGGGTTTGAACCGCGTTAGAAAGAGATACAATATCAGGCTCTTTAAGCAGCCTGATACTGTATCTCTTTCTAATTGCTCTTTAAGCAGCCTGATACTGTATCAGCTCTTTAAACCCTGATGAAGTGATCTGTAATTCACGAAACGTCGGTATAAAAATGACACTAACGCGGTTCAAACTCGAAAAAACATCTTTGTGTGTTAATACTACACACCGCGAAAGCATCAAATATCACATTATAAATATATTATTATACATTATAAATATATATATAATGTATACAAAATAAAATTATTATACATTATTATAAATACAATTATATAAATACATACANACTAAGAAATATATATTTATTCTTCAATTTTTTGTTAACTGCAAGTTTGAGATGTATTAGTTTAATTATTTGCTGATACAAATATGTGCTTTAAAGAAAGATACAATTATTTTGAAGGCACGTATACACGCCCAGAATAAGTTCGTTTTAGTTCGTGGGATAGGCGCATAATACGCGCTCTCAGTAAGAGTTTTGCAAAAACCTATCTGCTTTTTTCAACTTTGAACAAGAAAGAAAAATATACACTAAAAAGGTTAGACCAGGTTTTATCCAAAAGTTCTCGTTTACAAAGCTTTTTCTATTTGTTAGCACATATTAATTTTTTATTGCGCTGTTCTGTACCGAAAGAATTAAGATGAAGGTGGTTCCTCGTTTGGNTTGTGAGGAAGTATTGTTATATCCCATATCTGAAACGAGAGAATTATCGTTATTGATACATTAAATTTGTTTTAAACTAGCATTAAGAGATTTCTATAATATTTTGTACAATATACTTTTTGTTTAAAGCAATGTGTTATAATTGTTTACACTAAACTGAATATGACTTGTGTCATGTAACGCGTATTCTTTTTGTAAGTTGTTTAAAAACGCTTAAATTCCCTTATAGACTTATAATCGACAAACGTAAATATAAAAAAATAGTGTATCACAATTGTACTTCGCGTACTTATCGCTAATATCATACCTGTACGTGAGGCGGCATACTCAGGATATAAATGACCGTGTCCGCAATATCCTTGCCCTCCAAAAGAGGACCAAGATTTACTTTATCGACGAAATTATCTATCATCTCCGTCTTTACCGCTCCGGGATTAATGTTCTATATTTGTGATATCAAGATATTTTACAATACTGTTCTCGTGTGTTTGTTATTATTGAAAAGTTTTCTATAGATAGAGTTTGCGTACCGTGACTTTTACGTCTAACTTTTCTCTTGCCAAATCACCGCGTAAGGATGCTGCCATACCTCTTACTGCATATTTACTGGCAGGATATATACTCATGCTTACTGGCATCATTTCTGCAAGTTGTCCGGCTACACTGGAGTCAAAGAGTTAACGAAAAATATTTTGTTTGTATTTCTCGCTTTGTGCGAATATTTTTCGAAGTTATTTTATAAATTTGACATTATCTTTGTTTCTAAGATAGTTTTTATTTTCGTATTTAATACACACCTGCCAATATTAATGATGTGACCCGATGCTTTCCGTTTTTTGACGGACTGAATAAATTCGCGCGAACAAATTGCCAGCGCAAGCACGTTTACGTTCAAAATT